AATTTTGGTCTTTGTTCTTTTTCTACTTCCTTTGGGTGTAAGATAAGATTGAGATTTGCAGATTTCTTCAGTTGGGCCTGTAGTGCTATGAACTTCCTGTAGCGTGAAGTCTGCTTAAGTTTCTTTCTCCTTCTCCCTCAGCCCCTTACCCCCTCAAACAAATACATAAATCTTTTTTTAAGATTTTTATTTATTTATTTGAGAGAGAGAGAGAACACACCCAAGCGGGGGGAATGGGCACAGGGAGAAGCAGACTCCCCGCTGAGCAGGGACCCTGATGCAGGGCTCCATCCTGGGTCTCAGGGATCATGACCTGAGCAAAGGCAGACGCTTAATTGACTGAGCCACCCAGGTGCCCCTAAATAAATAAATCTTAAAAAAAAATTCCTTGTAAAACCTCTTTGGCTACATCGCTTGGATTTTGTACTCTGTTGTTGCCATTTTCATTTGTCTCGCGGTATTTTTTACTTCCTCTTTGACTTCTTGGTTCATCCATTGATTGCTTAGTATCATGCTTAACCTCCAGGTGTTTGTAGTTTGTAGTGTTTTTCCAATTTTCTTCTGTAATTGGTTTCTACGTTCATGCCATTGTGCTAAAAAAAGGATGCTTGATATGATTTCAGTCTTCTTAAGTTTGAGACTTGTTTTCTGGCCTAACACAAGATCCGTCCTGGAGAATGTCCCATGTGTACCTGAAAAGAATGTGTATTCTGCTGGTTTGAGATGGAATGTTCTGGATATATGTTAGGTCCATCTGGTCTAATGTGTCATTCAAAGTCACTTTCCTTACTGATTTTCCGCCTAGATGATCTGTTGATATTAGTGGGGTGTTAAAGTCCCCTACCATTACTGAACTACTGTCAATTTCTCCCTTTATATTTGTCAATATTTTCTTTATATATTTAGGTGCTCCTGTGCATAGATATTTACAAGTCTTATATCTTCTTGTTGGGTTGACCCCTTTATCATTATGTAATGCCCTTTGCCTCTGGTTACAGGTTTTGTTTTAAAGTCTATTTTGTCTGGTATAAGTGTGGCTATCCCTGTTTTCCTTTTTTTCCCTCCCATTTACTTGGAATATCTTTTCCCATCCCTTCACTTTCAGTCTGTATGTATCTCGAGGTCTGAACTGAGTCTCCTGTAGACAGCGTATAGGTGGGTTTTGTTTTTGTTTTTGTTTTTAAGATTTTATTTATTTGACAGGCAGAGATTACAAGTAGGCAGAGAGGCAGGCAGAGAGAGAGAGGTGGAAGCAGGCTCCCTGCTGAGCAGAGAGCCCCGACTCAGGGCTCCATCCCAGGACCCTGGGATCACGACGTGAGCGGAAGGCAGAGGCTTTAACCCACTGAGCCACCCAGGCACCCCTGGGTTTTGTTTTTTTATCCATTCAGTCACCCTGTGTCGTACGATTGGAACATGTAGTCTCTTTGCATTTAAAGTAATCACTGCTGGGCATGTACTTATGATTAATGTGTTCATTGTCTTCTGGCTGTTTTTGTAGTTCTTCTCTATTCCTTTCTTCCCTTGTGACTTGGTGACTTTCTTTACTGTGATGTTCGGATTCTGTGTCTTTTGTGTATCCATTCTAGATTTTGGGGATGTGGTTACCAGAAGGTTCACATATAACACACTATATAGAGCCGTGCATTTCAAGTTGATGGTCACTTAATTTTGAACACATTCTAAAAGTGCTACGTTTTTACTCCCTTCCCATTTCATGTAGTTGACATCATATTTTACATCTTTTTATCTTGTGTACCTCATAAGTAATTATTGTAGCTATAATTGAGACACTACTTTGTCTTTTAACCATCACACTAGCTTTCTAAGGGATTGACCCACTACCTTTACTATATGTTTACTCTTACCAGTGAGATTTTTTCTTTTGTAATTGTCTTCTAATCATGGCCTTTTCTACTTAAACAAGTCCCTTTAACATTTTTTGGAATGCTGGTTTAGTGGTGATGAACTCCTTTAACTTTTGTTTGAGAACTCCTCTCTCCTTCAGTTCTGATTGCTAACCTTGCTGGGTGGAGTATTCTTGGTTGTAGGTTTTCTTTCCAGTACTTCGAATGTATCGCACTACTCCCTTTGGGCCTGCGAACTCTGCAGAAAAATCAGCTGATCGCCTTATGAGGGTTCTCGGATACATAACTATTTGTATTCTCTTGCTGCTTTTAAGATTCTCTCTTTATCTTTAATTTCTGCCATTTTAATTATTATGTGTCTTGGCGTGGACCTCCTTGGGTTCCTCTTATTTGGGGCTCTCTGGGCTCGCTGGACCCAGATGTCTGTTTCTTTCTCCATGTTAGGGAAGTTTTCAGCTATTGAGTTTTCAGAAATGTTTTCTGCCCCTTTCTCTTTCTCTTTCCGGGACCCCGATAATGCAGATGTTCGTATGCTTGGTGTTCCAGTGGCACCTTATCCTACTCCCATTTCTTAAGAATTCCATCTTCTTGGGCGCCTGGGTGGCCCAGTCAGTTAAGTGTTCAACTCTTGATTTCAGCCCAGGTCATGATCTCGGGGTCGTGAGATTGAGCCCCGCGTTGGGCTCCGCGTCAGGTGAGGAACCTGCTTGGGATTCTCCCACCCTCTCCCTCTGCCCCAGCCCCATTTGAGCTTTCTCTGTCTCTCAAAAAATAAAAGTAAAAATATTTTCTATCTCTTTGTTAAAGTTCTCACCAAGTTCATCCATTCGTCTCCCAACTCTTGTACTCTTAGGAGCATCTTTATGACCATTCCTTTGAACTCTTTATCAGGTAAATAGCTTATCAACATTTTTAGCCTTTTTCTGTGATTTTGTCTTATTCTTGTTCCTCTGTCTCCTCATTTTGTCTGACTTTCTGTTTGTTTCTATGTATTAGGTACATCAGCTCTGACTCCTGGTCTTGAAAGTAGCGGCCTTATGTAGAAGGTGTTCTGTGGGGCCCAGTAGTATCATCAGCCCTCATCACCAGAACCAGGCACTCCGGGGGTGTCCCGCGTGTGGGCTACAGCCCACTGCACTGTCCACAATGCACTGTCCTATTTTGACTCCGCTATGATTGCTGTGGGGGTGCTGGTGAGCGGGGCTGGCCCTTGGCCCTGCCGGCTGCAGTGCCTACTGGTGGCTATTGTGGGTGTGCTGGTAAGTAGGGCTGTACCCCTCCACCCCACCTGAGGCATAAGTTGCTTTGGAGGGACACTGGTCTTGGTCAAGGCTGCCCACCAGCTGTGGCAGGGTGGTAATGACTTTGGGAAGATGCTGGTCCCAAGTGAGGCTGCCTGCCTGCTGTGGCGGGCCAGGAGCTGCTTCAGAGGGGCACCTGCCAGGGTGGGGTCAGGAGCCTAGCAAGGTAGATGGAGAAATGTCAGAACTGGTACCCACCAGCACTTTCATTCCCAGAGGATGTTCCTACAGACCCCTGCCCCTTTGGCACATAACCTTAAAATGACGTGATAAATCCCCCTTCGCAAATAGTCCAGGCACCTTTCAAACCACTGCCTCTGTGCTTGGTCTCAGAGAGAATGGTAGCGTGTGGGCCCTTTAAGAGCTGAGTCTTGGTTTCCCATAATACTCTGATCAAGCAGCCCCCGATTTTCAGAGTCCCTGGGATGAAGCCCTGCTGATTCTCAAGGCCAGATGTTAGGGGGCTCATCTTCCCAGTGCAGTCTCCAGGGTGGTGGGTGGTACCCAGAGGTGGAGCTTGGACCTTCCACTCCTCCGGGAGGGCCTGCCCGCCTGTGATAGCCCCACCATGTGTGGATTGCTGTGCAGGGATTTAGCTCCTGACTTTGTCTCTGTCCCTGCTACCCTTCTTAACATGGCTTTTTCTTCATATCCTTAGCCGTGGAAGAGCTCTTCTAGTCTTCAGGTGACTCTCAGCATGAGTGAACAGGCGGCATCTTAACAAAGACCTCAAGAGAGGTAAGGCATGAACCATGAGAACAGATCCCAGGGGAGAGGGTCCCAGGCAGGGAGCACTGCCCACGAAAAGGCTCTGAGGTGGGAGCGGGCCTGGCAGTTGAACAGAAAGGAGGCGGGTGTGGCTGCAGTTAGAAAGGTGAAAAGGGAGAAGGTAGCAGGTGATGACTCTGGGCGCTAGGTTGGGAGGGAAGAGGGGACTCCAGTCACTTCAAGCTCCGCAGGCCATTGTCAGGACTGACTTTTGCCTTTTACTCAGAGTAATGGGTGGCATTGTTGGGGGAAATTTTTCTGCTTGTTCTGTGTCCATTCCAGCCTGATTCACAAACCCTGGCTGCAGTAGGCAGAGGCTTTCGCCCGACTCCAGAGGGTGACGTTCTCCAGAGCAAGAAGTTCCAAGAGTAAGTAGTACTTTGTGCCGTGCACCTCGCTTCCACCTCACTGGGCCTTCCTCGGGCCTAGGGAACTGCCCTTAGGGCTGTAGGCCGTGACGGGCTGGCCAGAGAAGCAGAGACAGCAGGAAGCTTCTCGAGTTTGCCTCCACCTGTTCCGGCTCGGCTGTGTTCTGAGGAAATACAGCGGGCGAGTAGGGACTGAGGAAATACAGCGAGTAGGGATTTCAGGTCATGGTTTAACCCGCCCCGCCAGGTATGCAAGGCAACCTGGATAAGCCACTCCAGGATAAGCCACACAAATGGGTCAGAGCCAGGCAGAGGCAGAAGAGAGACAGGAATTCACAGACATGCACATCACAGTGTGCAGGCATGATGTTCCAAAACCAGCTCAGAAAGATCTCTAAAGTTGGTGACGGGAGAATTCCTGGTTTGAAAGCCAGCATGGGAAAATGGCTTAACCGGGCCTCCCGGATTTGCCGAGGGAGATGTAAGGTTAGGAAGATACAAACAAGGAAAGACGACTGTGACTCTCACCGTCGAGCCATACCATTTTGATCTTGGAACCCAGATGGGGACAGTTGTTTACTTTTTAGTCACCTTTGAAATCATCTAGGGTTTCTGGGTCTGAAACTTTTCATCAGATGCTCCTTTTCATTATTCCTCGCCCTTGTATGCCCATCCGGAGCGGTCCGCTAACTTACCAGGACGAACTCCTCTATCTGTTTGCGGCCCCTTTCTGCTGTGAATTCACCGTGTGTGATCCATTTGATGCTTTTGGTGGGCTTTTCAGCTTCTGCAAGAAAAGGAGGTGAGAATTTGTCAGTTGCCTGGTGGTGTGGCATTGTTTAATGGGACTGTCCTTCAGGCCTCCAAGCAGGATGACTACCTTCCACAGTCTTTTTTTTTTTTCTTTAAATGTGGGGTTTCCTTTTTTAAATGTCAGTTTTCTTCATTTGTTTTTAATGATTCTACCTGTTTATTTGACAGAGACACAGTGAGAGAGGGAACACAAGCGCGGGGAGTGGGAGAGGGAGAAGCAGGCTTCCCGTTGAGCAGGGAGCCCGATGCCAGGCTCACTCTCAGGATCCTGGGATCATGACCTGAGCTGAAGGTAGACGTTTAACCGACTGAGCCACCCAGGCACCCCTACCTTCCATACTCTTAACAGCAGCGTGGATGGCACTCTTCACTAACTCTAGAGCTAATTTATTCACATCGCCGTTGTCATCTTCTTTGTCTGTCTCGTGGCTTTGATCCACATCCATCTCCTGGATATTGAAATTTTTGGTCCCATCCATTTTCTTTCCCCTGGAAAAAGAAGCTCAAGAAGTTAGCCCTTGCGCATGTGTGCGTGCATCTGCCTACAACACTTGTCTAAGTTCAGACCTCCGCTTGAAGGATAAGATGTAGGAAATGGTTGTTGCCTCTAGGGGGGCAACAAAGGCTTAAGGGTGGGGATGGGAGTGAGGCCTTATAGTTTATCCTTTGTGCCTAGCTTCAGAGATCTGTTTTTCCTGAAAACCAAGGGTTTTCAGATTCTTAGAACCATGAACGGTTCAATCAAGGTGTAGTAGAATGAGTCCGAACTTCTTTGGAGTTCTAACAATATGGATTTCTAGCAGAGTCTTTAATAGAACCTCAATCCCTGCTTAGGCAACTGAGAGCACATGCCCAGCCTTTTTTTTTTTTTAAGATTTTATTTATTTTATTTGAGAAAGAGAGAACATGAGCAGGGGGAAGGGCAGAGGGACAGGGAGAGAGAAAGAGAAACAGACTCCCCACTGAGCACCGAGCCCAAGGCAGGGCTCGATCCCACGACCCTGAGATCAGAATCTGAGCCAAAACTGAGTCGGATACTTAACCCACTGAGCCACCCAGAGACCTGGAGCTATGTGCCCTGGGGCACCTGGGTAGCTCAGTCAGTTAAACGTTGGACTCGATTTTGGCTGAGTTCATGATCTCATGGTTGTGGGATCAAGCCCTGTGTTGGGCTCGGCGCTCAGTGCAGAGTCTGCTTGAGATGCTCTCCTTCTCCCTCGGTCCTTCCCCCTGCTTGTGCTCGCTCTCTTCTCAAATAAATAAATAAATAAATAAATCTTTTTTTTTTTTTAAAGAATAATGTGAATTAAAATCATTAGAGGCAATACAGCATAGGATGGGGATGGGTTTTCAGTTTTTTTCTCTTGGATTCTCCAGGTGTACTATATATCATCTGCCAGAAACTATCATTTTTTACCATCTCCTCTCCTGAGGGAATATACTTCCATAAGTACTTGCTTTGGTGAACACTTCCAGAAAACTGTTCAGTGAAAGGGAAGGTAACATGCCTCCTGACTTCAGTGGGCGTGCTTTCTGCTGTTCCATCATAACGTGTGCTGCTGGTTTATGGTGACAGATGTGTCACATCGGGAAACTCTTTGCTCCTGTTCTGGTAAGAGGTTTATCATAAATGATCACTAAAATTTTCCAGATGTTTTTAACATCTACGGAGATGGTGAAACTTCATCGTTATTCGGGCTGTGAACAAGGGTTCATCACAGTGTAAGACTCTGCCCCTTCTCTGTCTTTTTTCCATCCTTTCCTCTTGAGTCTTGGATTCTCTTTCTTTCCTGGCTACTACTTAAGTCTCTTCACTTTTGACAAATCACTTCCTTCTAGCACAGCTATGCATCCCTGTGGCCAGTGGCATGGGGGGGTGTTGTAGCAAAGTGGGTGTCTCTCTCCAAAGGGAGCTCATTATTCTTCTGTAGTTACTGCTTCCAATTTTGGGGTGTTTAATGTGCCTTGTTTCATTTAACTCAGCCCTACTCCATGAAATCATGCACTAGACACCTTCCATTTGCCCTTTCAGATCCACTCCTCCCGTGTCCCCTGCTCTCTGTCCTGGAAGGCTGACCTGGCTGGACTGCATCAGTGGGCTCTCCCCTCTGGCTTCCAGGAGGTTCTGCACAATGCGGAGACCAGGCTGAGGGAGGAGAATGAGGGCAAGTGATATGTTCCCTGGGGAGCAGTCCGCCTTCAGGGTCCCCTGTGGCTGGAGCGGACCCTGCTTGTCCCAGGGCAGGGGTCTCACTTCTCAGCCCCGTAAGGGCAGTTATGCTCTCCCCTCAGCCCCGTTCTAGAACAGCCCAACTGTTCTAGCCCCAGGGGAGCTGCACTTGCCCTTGTAGCCCTCCTGTCTGCCCACACCTTCGTAAACACTCCATTCGCTTAACCCTTCTCTACCTGCACTGCTCTTAGTATGCCAGGTTTCCTGGTGGGACCCTGCGACACAGAGAGACTCTTGTCACCACATGAAAGGAGGAGGCCAGGCTCACGGCCAGACTGTCTGGCTCGGTGGCTGATGCACTCAACTACCCCACTCTCCTCCCTCCAGGACTCCAGAGTCTGAAGCCCTCCTGAAGTCTAGAATGTGCTCACTTGCTTTCTGTGAGCCTCTTCGAGGAGAGGCACCCTCCGCCCCCTTTCTCATTGTTGGTTCCAGGGTGTGCTGGGGGCTGTCCAGGGCAGCCCAGTTCTTGGGGCCGTCAGTCCAGGCATGGTCTGAACAGCCTTTCAAGCCTTGGGTAATGCTGACTCGTGTTCATTTGGGTCTTCATATTAGCATTTGTGGCTCGGTTTGCATCTGCCTCAGTTTCCTGTGGCTGCTCTCCGGGGGTGGACGAGGCCGTGTACTGGGGGAGGACGGAGTCTTCCCAGGCTGCCCGTCCCAGACAGTGAGGAGAGCCTGAAGGGTGGCCAGTGAGGGAGTCCAAAGGCCCTCGAGCTAGAGAACTGGCTGTCCCCAGCCTAAGAATTGGGCCAATTAGGCCACAGCTATTTGCTGTAAACTCTGTAGTTAAAGACAACAGTGGAGTTTTTTTGGTAAACCGGTAAATTTAGGAGGCTTTGGTGAGTTAACCGTACAGCAACTTGATCCTTTAAACAAATGGCCCACATGGCGACTCGGTCACTCAGTGACTTGGGTTTCAGCAAACTGCTTCTTGATGAATTAAACAGAAGCCAAATATGTAACTTCCAAAACCAGGCAGAGGAGGTGGGGGGGTTCTCATCCATGGAAGGACCTCCTTAAGACCTTCCCTAGGGAGCCCTGTATTCCGGCAGGAGGGAGAAAGGGGAGCAGGGGCTCACATCGTGCCCTTGCACGTCCATGGGCACGCATCCTTCATAAGTGTCCCTCCGACTGACTTGTCCTCATGCTTCGTCTCCCCTCCCTGCCTAAGGAGAGAGGCCAGATGGGCAGGAAAGGCCAGGCGTGTGGTGGAGCCCCGGGTCAGGCGACAGCTGCGGAGAACCAGTGTGAGGCCTCTCTGCAGCACGCCCCACCCCCCACAAGCCCCCCCACCCCAGTACCTGAGTGAGCAGATCCTTGTTTGGAGCAGTACCGGCCAGGTCAGCCTCAGACTCCTGGCCGCTCTGGCCCAGGCCTGCCAGACAGAATGTTGACATGTGCTCCCCGGGCAACACCCATTCCCACCAATGGGAGGCAAAGCCCTGAGTGGCCACCCGCTTCTGCCAGTGAAGGCAGGGACAGTCCGTCCCATCAACCTTGGGACCTCTGCCCTGTGGCACTCGTGGCCAGCTTCCTCCGGCGGCGGGGGAGCTCGAAGGGCTTTTGCCGGAGAAGCAGGGATGGCGGCCCGGCATGTGGTGGGGATGATGGGGGTCTGCTCTCTGGGCCACTGTGTGCAGCGCCGTGTGTGTGTGTGTGTGTGTGTGTGTGGTCTCCGCCTCCTCCTGGCAGCCTGCTGGCCACCAGTAGTGTTTGTGTTACCGGGAGACACAGCGAGCCACCCAGGGCATCAGACCCAGGGCCGCTGGCCTCACTGACGGAACTCCTTACTTCTCGAGACCCACATTCCCAGGCTTGGAACTCCCTGCGTGCTTGACTGTTTTCAGGGGTGTCTTTTGTGAATCACGGATGAGCTTCCAACATAATGGTTATCAGCCTAGACCCGGGAACAGTTTACTGCACGTTTCGTAGTTTCCTTGTCTGCGAAATGGGGATCATAGTGCCTGTGGAATAGGGGTCCGCGGGAGGACCGGATCCTGCGATTCCTGTCAAGACTGGGAACAGTGCCTGGTGCATCAGAAGCGGTCTTCACACCGACCAGATCGTTTTTCTAGTATTATCACTAATAGCAGTAGTACTGTAGAGTGTTCTTTTAAATGGTACAATGGAAAGTTGTGGGCCCTGGGGCGCCTGGGTGGCTCAGTTGGTTAAGCGTCTGCCTTGGGCTTAGGTTATAATCCTGGGACCCTGGGATCGAGCCCTGAGTCCTCGTCATCGTCATTGTACTTGTTGTCGTTGTCATCCTCAGGTTCCCTGTGCTCCCTCTCCCCCTCCCCTCCCTCTGCAGCTCCCCCTGCTTGCGCGCCTGTGCTCTCTCTGTCAAATAAATAAAATCTTGAAAAAAAGTTGTTGGCCCTGTGTTAAGACCCAGTTTTATTTTATTAATTTTCTGTGAAATCCCTCCATCTCACAAGCCCTGCTTTGTGTCCGGAGTGCTTGGCTTCTCACCCCATGACAGTGTCCATCCCAGTGAAGAAAGGAGAGCGATTTGCTAAGTGTCCTCCTCACCCAGGACGAACGCTGAGCTGTGCCTGGAAGACGGTCCCGCGCACAGAGCCTGCTAGTGCGATGGCGCAGTGACATGGGGGCTGGGGCTGGAAGGGAGAAGGGTGGGAGGGAATGGTGCGGCTTGCGGGAGCTCAGCCTCTGATCCCACACAAGGGGCTCACATCCTAGCTCTGCCGCAGGCTGGCTTTGTGACTTTAGGTAGGTTGTGTCACGTCTCTGAGTGGGGGGATCTCACTTACAGTCCCTTCCTACCCCCGATGAGGGGAAACGAGGTGGTTCGTGGGGAGCCGTCAGAACAAAGAAAAACACCCTTGTTTTGCACACACAAAAGTGTGTTCATTGCACACACACAAAAAGTGTGCAATGAACACTAGTTCCCATGGCCAGGGTGGTGGAGACGAGCCACCACGGGCAGAATCAAAACCTAGAGGGGTCAGAAAGAGTCCACCGCTTCCACAACATAGGGCACATGTGCCTGAGACAGGAGGGACCGGTGTGTCTTGAGCTGTCGCTGTGCAGGCCCGGTGCCCGGCCGCCGAGCCAGGAAGAGGACTTGTGCGACATGCTCACTGGTGAGCACGTGGGCTCAGGCTCCAGAGCTGCCAGTACTCTAGGTGATGATGACCGGCCTTAGTGCTCCTCCCACACAGCCCATCAGACCAGCGGCTCCGAACCTTCTAGTGCCGCAGCAGGCCTGCCCTTCCGGACTCCCTGGGGGACGGTGGGGAAGTGGGAGCTGCTGGGCCCCGCAGAGCTTCCTTTGTGTCAGGCTTTGGTGGGCAGAGGCAGCAGGACCTTTCCCAAGAAGCTGTGGGGCCACTGGTGAGGGGTGAGAAGTGTGGGCCGAGGACCTGGCACCGGGATTCTTATTCGCCCAGAGGAGAAGGACGTGCGGGCAAGTGACAAGAAGCTCCTTGGAGGCAAGATGCGTTCATGGGGGAAGCTGGGCAAGAAGGTGCCTCTTTGAATGAGAAGCTTGAACTCTGTGGCCAGAACTTGACCTTCCCCTCCCACCCCCCAGCCAAGCCTGTTCCCCAAGTGACCGATCCTGGCCCTGGGCCCTCCTTATGGAGCGGCCTCTGATGCCAGGCAATGCTGAGGGCTGGTTCTTCTGCTTTTGCTCCCCCCCCCACCCCCGCCCAGGAGGAGCCCAGCCCAGCCCCTCGTTCCAGGGAGGAAGTAGATGCAGCGGGCCAGGAAGCCCCAAACCCAAGTCCCCACCTTGCTGCCCCCCTGAGTCCACCGTGAGCCTCTCCTCACGTAGGGCATCCTGCCTCCTCGGAGCCCCCCAGGCCCTAGGCCCCCACTTGGACAACAGCTTGTAGTCCAGTGATGCCCCTCTGTTTGCCCGAGAAATGGGGAGCTTGGCCTGCTGCCACAGCGCGGCTGGGCCCTTCAGGTCATGCTGAGGGAGCCTCCTGGGCCAGCGGTGGGCCAGGCCGCTGCTCCACGTCCACGTCCACGTCCATGGAGACCAATGGGCAGAGCAGGAGGGACAGGCCACGCCGTGTGCATGCGGCCTTCCTGAGGCGGCCTCGCTGGGCACGCCGCCGTGGGGAGAGGGGAAGGCACCTCGCTCTGGGGGAGCCCACACCCTGGGCCCTGAATCGGACTCTTGCCCTCCATGTCCCCTCAGTCGTTTTCACTCCCTCTCCCTCCCCTGCAGCCCCCCTGGTTTATCTGCTCACCCTGCCCTCCTCCCTCCCTGGCAAGGCGCTCAGCTCTCCTCCTCGGAGCCCGGGCTGAGCGCTGACCCTGTCCGGTCAGGTGAGGCAGAGCCCACGTGGAGCTTTTAAGGCCCCGCGATGCGCACGGTCGGCCGGCACTGTGGGCAAGTGAGGGTGCAGGGAGGACAAGGCCCCCAGCCTCCCTCCGCGCACTTGGCCTAGTTGGGAAGCTAAGGAAAGCCCCCTGAAGAGAGAATGAGCAAGTCAAAGGTAGCAAGGCCTGTCGGGTTCGGGCAGGCTCTAAGCAAGCAGGGCTGTATGATGGCGCTCTGGGTCTGAGAGGCCACCAGGCTGTCCCAGGAAGGGGCGCGAGGAGGCAGGAGCCCAGGGACTCTCCCAGGCTGAGGCCTGTCCTCCAGCAGTAAAGGCCCGGGACCCAGAGTCCAATGCTGGTCCGTCCCAGGTCAGCGGGTTCCCGAAAGTCATACTGTCCTGAAGTCCTCTCAGAATGTTCCAGCCATCCCTGAGCACACACGTCTGCCACAGGGCGAGTGCCTCGTTGAACACTGTGTCACTCAGAACAAAAGCCCAGTGGCAGAGCTATTCCCGGGCAGCTGGACTTTTGCCAGTGCTGCCCTGATTCTCGTCCCCACTCATAAGCACTTCTAGGCCCCGGATGCAAACTCCAGGGTTGCCCAGGAGACCTGAGCCACCCCACCCCCAAGACGGGGCTCTTACAGGTAAGAGAGGAGAGGGGGGCTTCTGGGAGATGCCCTGTTTTCTGGCCTCCGGAAGCCAAGGGTATTAGGCGCAGAAGGAAAATTTTCTGTGGAATGAAACAGACATTCCCAGCCACGTGTAGGTGGCGTACAGGCGGCGGCCTGGGCAAGGGGTACCAAAGAAACCCTTAAATACACGGGAAAGATTTTTGTTTTCTTGGGGCCGTAACACTCAGTGTTTCCGCTGTCTTTCCCTTTTCCTGTTGTCTTTGGGATTGTAGTTCTTTGGGATCACCATTGAAATTGCTTACTTGTTTGTAAGCTTTATTACCTGGCCCATAGGTAATAACTGGTTTCTTCACGGTTTCTGGACCTGAGGAAGATCTGTCAAGAAACAAGGCAACAGAAGGCACGAAATGTGTTCCAGGGGGATACCTGGGTGGCTTAGTCGGTTAAGCGTCTGCCTTCGGCTCAGGTCCTGATCCCAAGCCCTGCATCGGGATCCCTGCTCAGCAAGGAGTCTGCTTCTCCCTCTCCCCTGCCCTGCTCAGGCTCTCTCTCTAATAAACAAAACTAAAAAAAGAAAGGAAGAGCACGCCCTGAAAGTCCACATCGACATACCTAGGAAGAAGAAACTCTGTTTCATGTGTCTTGTGCCCACAAAAGTACAGTAATTTTTCTCGGGTCACGAAAATTATCACAAAAGTTATCAGAGTGAGAGGAAATCTTGAAAAGCAAGTGACGCCCAGCTCTCAGCCCCTACTCTCTGCCCTCATCCAGAAGCTTCCTGCTGAGGTGGCTGCCTTCAATCCCGTACACTCATCACCTTCCCACAGAAGGGAGTAGGTGGCAGCTGCCTGGAGGGGCAAGGGGGCACTCGGTTCTCACGGTGGCATTCGGCTAGATTGTGCTCTCTGCTCTCAGAAAACACCTTCAGAGCAATCGGTGTCTGTTGTCTTGGATCGCAGTGCTCTGGGGATACCTTCATTGTGATCATTCATTCCAGGAGGGAACCCTGGGCTGCTGCACTTGGTCATGTGCTGGGCCTGAGGGTGCCCTGACATCCCTCTGGGAACCGAGGAGTGGACTGGACGGCTCTTCAGGGGGTGCTTGCAGTGTCAGCAACGGTCCCTCCCACGAGCAGGGGCTGTAGTTACAGACCACCTTCCTGGCCGTCTCTGAGCCCCAGGGACCGGTGAGGGCACATACCCGCCTCACTTGAGAGACGGGAGACCTGAGGCTCAGAGCAGTGCAGCGACTTGCCTAAAGTCACACAGCCCCCAGGTGGCGGGGCCGCCCCCAGGCGCTGGTCCTCGCGGCACCCTGAGTCTCTGCATCACACATCCCCTCTTCCTTCCGAAAACAAACTGTCATGGGTCGGGGGAGGGAGGGGGTGGTCCTGGGCATCAGAAGCATTGCCAGCCTCTACCCACTAGGTGGCAGT